CCTGCCGCCGGAACAGACTGCGGGAGATGACAGTGATGCGGCCACCTTCAAGCCGACTCTTCCCGACCTCTCCCCTGATGAGCCTTCAGAAGCTCTTGGCTTCCTGACATTAGACAAGGAGGAGGAAGAGGGCCTGGGGGAGGCCCCCAGCCCTCAGAGCCCCACCAAGACCCCCACAGCAGCCAGCCTGGAGTCAACCCCAGGCCAGGTGGCTGAAGAGGCCCCCTCCCCAGCTGCTGAGGAGGGGGCTGCTGCAGACCCTGGCAGTGACGGGTCTCCGGGAAAGTCCCCTTCCAAAAAGAAGAAGAAATTCCGCACCCCTTCTTTCCTGAAGAAGAGCAAGAAGAAGAGCGATTCCTGAAGGCCCCACCCCACTGTCGTGTCTGTAGTCACCCGGCCCCCACCCCCGATTGTGTCTTGTCCTGTCTTCTCTTATCATGGAATGCAGAAAGCCAGACCCTCCCCGTAGCTCAAGCCCACCTCTGGTGGTGTGGCCAAACCCCACGCAGATGGTGCTAAGGGAGCGGGTGGGAGCAGCAACCCACCCCACCCTCGCCTGCCTCTGCTCCCCTGCCACAGGAGCACACAGGGTCCGTCAGCTGCGAGACATGCTCCCCACCCTAGTCTTCACAGGCTCCCCTGAGCCCTGGCTGGCTGCCTCCTCGCCGCGCTTTGTCCTGAGCAAACGTGCGCCTCTCTGCTTCCCTCTCCTTAGGCCTCAGTGACCCGTCCAACTCAGCTTCACCCACTGACCTGACCTGGCCTGACTCTCTTAACACAGCCTGGTCTTCGAAAACACTCGGGGCCACAGTGAGAGGTTGGGCTGCCTCCAGGCATGTGCCCCGTCCTATGCAGGGTTCACAGGTCCTGGGCCAGAAACAGATTCAAGAACTCATAGTGTCTTTTTCACTGGGGCTCTAGATGCCTGTCACAGGAGGGGGATGTCTTTTCTAGAATTTTCTTTTAGATGATTTACAGTTCAGTCTCCATCTCTGACTGTGACTCCGAATGGGCCACTTTTAGTTCTAGTTGTGGCAGTAAAGCACCCCTACCCTTTCCTGGTAGCGTTTCTGGATGGAGAAGGCACCCGTCTCAGCTTGAAAGATACCCCAGCCTGGCTGTGATCAGAGCCCACTCAGTGGGTAGTGGCTCCCTTGACCCCAGGTCAACCCTGGTACCAGAGTCATGCCCTGAGAGGGCTGCATTGTCGGACTTAGAGGGAGCTGGTGGGTGGCTGCACAGACTTGCCAAGGACCACCCTGCTCAGTGCCACCTGCTGAGGTGTAAGGCAGCGAGCCGGGCCACCACTGTGGAGATGCCTGGGGGAGGGGGGTGGCCCTGGTCCGGGTGTGGGTGGGCTGAGCCCCACCCCCGGGGGCTTGAGCAGGACCCTCACAGCCCTGGGCTGGCTGCATGGCGCTAGTGCCTGGACTTCATGCTCACCCACAGCAGGGCCTGCTGACCCACCCCACCAGTTGCTTTTCTGCGCTACCAAGTCGGGCTGTCTCCGTGTGTCCAGTTCACAGCGGACCCCACCCCCCACCCCCCATATGCAATGAGCTTCTCTCACTTTTGTAGCTTATTTGAATTCTTTGTATTACGATATGAACTATAGTTACATATATGGACACAGACCTTGTCCACCTGGCCTTTCTTCACCGTAACATTCTTTTACTCACAAATAAATAAACTTCTCTACACGGATTCCTTGTCTGCACCCAGACAGCAGTTATGTGTTTGCCCCGTTAACATGGGACTCCCACACAGGTTTGTCTCGTGGCCCTGGAAGCCTCTTCTAAAGGGTTGGTTCCTACCCAGCTGCTAGCAACCTGTCATTTTGGCCATGTGAACCCCAAACACCGGGAGGTGGCTGGCCCCCCTTGGCCTTCCATCCCCTAGCCTTGCCCTCCCATCCCCTAGCCTTGCCCCAGGAGCAGGGACTGCCCCTGACCCCACTTCCGCAGCCCCGAGTTTCTCACAAGGTGGGGTGTGGCACCAGTGGGGTGGCGGGCTCCACGTGGGAGACACGGATAGAAAACAGCTGCTTTATTGGGTCCCAGAGGAGTGTGCTCTTGTTACAAGACACAGATGGCAAAGGCCTCCAGTTGCCCTGTGTGGAGTGAAAACAGTCTGGGCAAGGTGTTCTGCTCAGGCCCCTGCCCCCGCCCCGAGTCCGTAGGAGCCAGTCCGAGAGGGGAGCCGTGGGGGCCTCCTGTGGGTGGAGTGCAACAGGGGCAGGTCCAGCTACTGGTCCTTGGAGGGGGCTGGCCTCAGGCCGCGCAGGAGCAGGAGGGGCAGCAGGAAGAGACTGGCACACGCGGTGAAGCAGACGTGGGCCCCGGCCAGCCAGTACACTGTGGGGACAGCTCGGCCTCAGCTCCACCCCATGGGAGCCTGTGGGACCCAAGTGCCCAGCTGCCACGCCCAGTGTGCTCACCTGAGGCGGCTGTGGCAGGCCCCACTGCCCGGGCCAGGGCACCCAGGCTGCGCAGCGTGCCCATAACGATACCTTTTTGCCCTACTGAACCTATAGATGGGAAACATGTCAGGGACCCACGCTCATGGCACGTGCCAGAGCCCACCTGATGAGGACAGGGAGGGGGACTCACCATAGCCGGCGACTACAGATGACAGGCAGGGCACAACAACCGCGGCCGCTGGGAGGGAGCGGGGAGACTGGGCAGGTGAGGTCCATAGGGGCCATGCCAGCTGCCCCCATGGGGACTGCCCCCAGCTCACCCCTTGGCACCCCACTCACCGAAGGAGTAGAGCAGCAGGCCCAAGCCCAGCACCGGCATCGAGTTCCCCCAGCCAATGAGCAGGAAGGCAGGCCCCAGCAGCAGGATGGCCTGCGGGACACAGCAGGCTTCAGCCCAGGCAGTGTCCCCACTTCAGGGAGAACCAGTGTCCCCACCTCAGGGAGAGCCCAGGCCCATACCCGCTTCACTGCTGCGAGCTCCCTGCCGGGGCGGATGCGCCGCACGTAGGTGCCCTGAATGGTAGCCATGGTGAGGCCGATGAAGAAGAACATCTTCCCCTGCTGCAGGCTGCAGGGGACGGGAAGGGGGGTGGCAGGCAGCGCTGTGAGTACACACACCAGGGACCAGGGCAGCGACTGTCACCCAGCCAAACACCCACCTGCTGAAGTGGAAGCGCTGGTGAGCGAGGAAGCCCAGTGTGAACTCCAGACCCGAGAAGAGGAGCAGGTAGAGCAGATAGACCAGGCCCAGGCGGCGCAGGCTGTCCAGTCCAGGGGGCAGCTCCCGCTGCTCACTGCCCCTGGTGGGGGGCTCCTGGCCTCGGGCCACCGCTGAGAAGCGGAGCAGCGCCAGGGGGCTGAGCAGGTCGGCGGTGGCTCGGAAGCCCGGTATGATGGAGGGCGCCTGGTGGGGGTGGAACTGCAGAGGCCTGCCAGGGACGGGAGGGACCCCCACCTGCTGGGCCAGCCCAAGGACCTGCCCACCAGCCCTGAACCCCCTGGGCCGAGTCCCACCCTAGGGGGCAGCCAGCCTACCCGCCGCTCCGGGGGCAGCGTCTCAGGCAGGAAGCAGAAGATGAAGAGCAGGTCAGCGGTGGCAAAAGAAAGGGCCAACCAGGGTGCCATGTCCACAGGCAGCGAGGCACCCAGCAGTGGGCCCAACGTGAAGCCCAGGGAGAAGGCCACTCCAATGACGGCCTGAGGGGTGAGGTGTGCTCAGCTCCTGGTAGGACACCAGGAGCGCCTGCCACCACCATGGGCACCGGCACTCACCATGCCTCGGCCACGGGCCTCCGGCGAGGCCAGGTCGGCCACGATGGCTGTGGACAGGCTGACATTGCTCTTACTAATGCCCCCAATTGCCCGGGAGACCAGGAAGGCGGCGAAGCTCCTGGAGGCAGCCCACACAGCATAGGAGGCGATTAGACCCACCTGCCGGCCAGGAGGTGACAAGGGACAGGAGCGGTCACCTGGGCAGGGCAGGAGCCCAGAGTGGGGCAATAAGCCCAGGCCACACCCTGGCCCAGCCCACCAGTGGCCCCAGTAGAGCGCAGGACTGGGGTTACAGCACCACTCCCCACAAGCCTGCACTGACCACAGCCAATCGTACCAGGGACAGCAGCATCAGTGGTCGTCTCCCCAGGCAGTCTGAGGCGGCGCCTGTGAGCGGGGCCGACAAGAACTGCAGGGCAGAGTAGCCGGAGCCCACCAGACCTAGGGAGCCAAGGTTGGGGTCATGGGTCGCCCAGGGACCACGCCCCCAAGGCTAGACCCCACCAGAGGGCAGGCAAGGTATAGAAAATGCAGACGGAGCCCAAGTGAGATCTGTGGGTTCCCACACGGCTACTCCTGGGCCTGTACCTCCAAAGAGGACGCTGTTGTAGCGTTTCTCGGCTGGCACTCCGATGGCCGAGGCAAACCAGTCCACGCCCTGCTTCCATGAGCCATAGAGGGGGTCCTTAGTGGAGGGGGGAGGCTGTTAGAATGGAGCCCAGGGTAGGGGGCCCACGCTGGATAGCGGGAAGGGGTGCGGCGGCAGGCACACCTGGGCGCGGCTGTGGGCCTCCAGCAATCCGGGCAGCAGCGGCAGCAGCAGCGTGAAGGCCAGCAGGTCCAGCAGCAGTCCCAGGAAAACCACCGCCAGCACACGGCGTTCAGACACGGGCTGCGGGCGGATCGGGGGCCGCGGGGTGCAGCTTGTGCCCGCGCCCAGTCCCATGGTGCCGGCCTGCTGCAGGTGTGGTCACATGTGAAGGCGCCCCCATGCCCACCAAGGGACCTGAGCAGCAGGGGGCTGTCTGCACGGGAACCTGGGCCGCTGGAGCTCAGGGACACCCAGATGCGGCTCCGTGGGCTTGGGGACCCATGTGCTGGGGAGACCTGATCTGCACAGCTTCAAGGAGCGTCTGGGTTCTGGGGACCGGGGTTCCTCTGTGCTAGGGACCTGGACCGCCCCCTGCCCGGGCTCCAGGACCGTTCGTGGGAGGGATTGGGCTGAGTCCTGGCGTGGCCTGCGGACCTTGCTGGACGGGCAGCAGGAAGCCCCGGTTGTGCAAGGAAACGGCCGGCTCTATAGTCACCAGTCTGGCGGGGACATCCGGTCCGCAGCGCGCACACACACACACACACACACACACACACACACACACACCCCAACACCACCACCACAAACCTCTGCTTTAAGTTATTTTTCTGTAAAGA